CTTTCTCACACACACACACGCTCTCTCACTCACACACTCTCTCTCTTTCTCACACACACACACGCTCTCTCACTCACACACTCTCTCTCTTTCTCACACACACACACGCTCTCTCACTCACACACTCTCTCTCTTTCTCACACACACACACGCTCTCTCACTCACACACTCTCTCTCTTTCTCACACACACACACGCTCTCTCACTCACACACTCTCTCTCTTTCTCACACACACACACGCTCTCTCACTCACACACTCTCTCTCTTTCTCACACACACACACGCTCTCTCACTCACACACTCTCTCTCTTTCTCACACACACACACGCTCTCTCACTCACACACTCTCTCTCTTTCTCACACACACACACGCTCTCTCACTCACACACTCTCTCTCTTTCTCACACACACACACGCTCTCTCACTCACACACTCTCTCTCTTTCTCACACACACACACGCTCTCTCACTCACACACTCTCTCTCTTTCTCACACACACACACGCTCTCTCACTCACACACTCTCTCTCTTTCTCACACACACACACGCTCTCTCACTCACACACTCTCTCTCTTTCTCACACACACACACGCTGTGAGCGGATGAGGCGGAACGCAGCACATTACAGCTGCAGAAGCGCTCTCTCTCTCGTCCCGTCAGGCGGTGTGTGTCGACGGCCTGCAGTATTGCTGCTGCTGTCATTACAGAGCCCAGCTAAACACACTGAGCGCTCTGCAGGACTCCAGCAGCCTTTCTGAGCCCAGACTCTGCAGCACGACACCAGCGTGACGAAGCATCACACCACAGGGCCAAAGAGACAAAGAATCAGCTTCGAAAAAGCACTATGTAAAAAAATTAACAAACATTTATCATTATTGCTATATCATTTTTAATACATTTATTTACATTTAGTCATTAAGCAGATGCTTTTATCCAAAGCCACTTACAAATGAGGACAACAGAAGCAAATCAAAATCAGCAAAAGAGCAATAATGTGTAAAACAGCATGAGCACAGTATTGCTATTAATTTAAATTATACATTTATCCTAATAAATAAATGTATTACAAGAGGAGGGACCCATTAGGATTGCTTTTTATCGAAATTTAGTGTCATCAATAAATGATCTCTAACGGTCTGAAGGATAAACCCCATATAAACAATAAAAACAGCATGCAAACAGCAGAAAAATAAATAAATAAGTGTCAGATGCACACAGCATGAGGCGACGCGGTGACGTCACGACGCACGCTTGATTGACAGCAAGAATCAAAGGAGGAGTGTGCGCATGCGCAGTGCGCAGCATCTCCCGGAATAAACACCCGTTCACTCACACTGACCGCTCTCGCAAGGCTAACAAGTGCTCTGATGTTTTCATATATAATTAATTAATAAGGATTAAACGATGCAGGAGTGAATAAAGGCGTCTGCGAGAGATATATGAAGGGATTCCCTCACCGAACAATCGCATCTGCGTGCAAATATATGATGACGTTTTCATAATTATCCCTCATTACCACACAGCATCTCTAAATACCCACACATCAAAAACCGCAGGAGAAAAGCACGATATTCGGGGTATTCGTCAGATTTTCCCTTTAGCGTATTAGTAATGACAAATTCAAAAAGGCCATACATAAATAAAATACGATACAGAAATAAAATCAGATTTGTTATTTACCTCTGTAACGTCCACGCTCGTGCCGCACCGACTCCAGCAGCAGCGCTCGCGCTCACGGTGCGTGACCGGAACGTGCGGGAGCCGCCGCATTAACTCACTCGCATCCGATTGGACGAGCGCTCTCTCCTCATGAATATTTAATGAGCGGCACTTAGACGCGCAAGCGCAGAGCTGCGATGGATGCGCCGCTCGAGAGATGCGAGGCTTTATGGATGAGATTAAAGAAATGCGGTTGATAAGTAAGACGAGACCCGTCTGTAGCTTCATTGCAATACCACATCTTCTTCCTTGTTCTGTTTTCTTGTTGTATTTTAGTGTGTACAGCCAGAAACTGATTCTGTGCCAGACGCGACACATAACATATGAAGCATTAAAAAAAAAAAAAACAGCTCTTTTGGACTCAAGAAGCACATGAACAATCAAAAGGCAGTAAATAAGAAATCATGCACTCAAAACAGAACCAGTTTAATCCCACATTTTTCCCAGACATGTGTTTTTTTTTTTAAGTGTGTGAAAAATTTTGTTTTATGGTCGGTCACGATTAATGTGCATACTGAATTTATCTATACAGACTGATGCAAAGTGCATACATTTAATATATAGTGTTTATATATCTCAGCCCAGCTATTTTAAATCACATTCTAGGCTTATTATTATTGTTATGCATAACAACACTGATAGGAACACAGACAAAAAAACTCTTTTTGTGAACAAATTGTTACTTTATTGTAACATTTATCATAAAATTGTTATATTAGTGCTACCAGTATTCTAACATCAGTATTGTAACGTTGGAACTTTTGAGTTCAATGCAATATTTCCTTCACTAACAACTGCAACTGGGTTTATATGTAAGCCTAAATGCACTATTGTGACCTTCAACATGTTTGCTCGCTCTGTGACCACACTCAGAGTCATTTTTAGAGCTTAATAAATGAAAACCTTCTTCTTAAAAAAATTAACAAACATTTATCATTATTGCTATATCATTTTTAATACATTTATTTACATTTAGTCATTAAGCAGATGCTTTTATCCAAAGCCACTTACAAATGAGGACAACAGAAGCAAATCAAAATCAGCAAAAGAGCAATAATGTGTAAAACAGCATGAGCACAGTATTGCTATTAATTTAAATTATACATTTATCCTAATAAATAAATGTATTACAAGAGGAGGGACCCATTAGGATTGCTTTTTATCGAAATTTAGTGTCATCAATAAATGATCTCTAACGGTCTGAAGGATAAACCCCATATAAACAATAAAAACAGCATGCAAACAGCAGAAAAATAAATAAATAAGTGTCAGATGCACACAGCATGAGGCGACGCGGTGACGTCACGACGCACGCTTGATTGACAGCAAGAATCAAAGGAGGAGTGTGCGCATGCGCAGTGCGCAGCATCTCCCGGAATAAACACCCGTTCACTCACACTGACCGCTCTCGCAAGGCTAACAAGTGCTCTGATGTTTTCATATATAATTAATTAATAAGGATTAAACGATGCAGGAGTGAATAAAGGCGTCTGCGAGAGATATATGAAGGGATTCCCTCACCGAACAATCGCATCTGCGTGCAAATATATGATGACGTTTTCATAATTATCCCTCATTACCACACAGCATCTCTAAATACCCACACATCAAAAACCGCAGGAGAAAAGCACGATATTCGGGGTATTCGTCAGATTTTCCCTTTAGCGTATTAGTAATGACAAATTCAAAAAGGCCATACATAAATAAAATACGATACAGAAATAAAATCAGATTTGTTATTTACCTCTGTAACGTCCACGCTCGTGCCGCACCGACTCCAGCAGCAGCGCTCGCGCTCACGGTGCGTGACCGGAACGTGCGGGAGCCGCCGCATTAACTCACTCGCATCCGATTGGACGAGCGCTCTCTCCTCATGAATATTTAATGAGCGGCACTTAGACGCGCAAGCGCAGAGCTGCGATGGATGCGCCGCTCGAGAGATGCGAGGCTTTATGGATGAGATTAAAGAAATGCGGTTGATAAGTAAGACGAGACCCGTCTGTAGCTTCATTGCAATACCACATCTTCTTCCTTGTTCTGTTTTCTTGTTGTATTTTAGTGTGTACAGCCAGAAACTGATTCTGTGCCAGACGCGACACATAACATATGAAGCATTAAAAAAAAAAAAAAACAGCTCTTTTGGACTCAAGAAGCACATGAACAATCAAAAGGCAGTAAATAAGAAATCATGCACTCAAAACAGAACCAGTTTAATCCCACATTTTTCCCAGACATGTGTTTTTTTTTTTAAGTGTGTGAAAAATTTTGTTTTATGGTCGGTCACGATTAATGTGCATACTGAATTTATCTATACAGACTGATGCAAAGTGCATACATTTAATATATAGTGTTTATATATCTCAGCCCAGCTATTTTAAATCACATTCTAGGCTTATTATTATTGTTATGCATAACAACACTGAGAGGAACACAGACAAAAAAACTCTTTTTGTGAACATAGTGTTTATATATCTCAGCCCAGCTATTTTAAATCACATTCTAGGCTTATTATTATTGTTATGCATAACAACACTGATAGGAACACAGACAAAAAAACTCTTTTTGTGAACAAATTGTTACTTTATTGTAACATTTATCATAAAATTGTTATATTAGTGCTACCAGTATTCTAACATCAGTATTGTAACGTTGGAACTTTTGAGTTCAATGCAATATTTCCTTCACTAACAACTGCAACTGGGTTTATATGTAAGCCTAAATGCACTATTGTGACCTTCAACATGTTTGCTCGCTCTGTGACCACACTCATTGTAACATATATCATAAAATTGTTATATTAGTGCTACCAGTATTCTAACATCAGTATTGTAACGTTGGAACTTTTGAGTTCAATGCAATATTTCCTTCACTAACAACTGCAACTGGGTTTATATGTAAGCCTAAATGCACTATTGTGACCTTCAACATGTTTGCTCGCTCTGTGACCACACTCGGAGTCATTTTTAGAGCTTAATAAATGAAAACCTTCTTCTTTATAGTGACCGGTGGGATCTAAGGGGTTAATGGCAACTATGAATTATTAGGATGCAAATTAGAAGTGATAAATGCAATGCAAGTGGCTTTGGATTAAAGCATCTAACAAATGCATACATGTGAAGACCAAAGACACGAAACCACCTCTGACCCGGACAGAACTAAACGTCAGGAGTTTACAATAAAAGTGTTTTTAGTACAATTAAACTGCACATTTATAAGTGCTGTGGCTGTCGGGTGATCATGCCGTTATATGACTAGATTATACGATAGAAAGCTTTTCAGCATCAGTGTGGACATGGAGACAGGAAGTGCAGCAGAGACACCTTTAGCTGAGACAGGAAGTGCAGTGGAAATGTCCTCAGCTGAGACAGGAAGTGCAGCAGAGACACTTTTAGCTGAGACAGGAAGTGCAGTGGAAATGTCCTCAGCTGAGACAGGAAGTGCAGCAGAGACACTTTTAGTTGAGAGCAGTGAGAAGTGTCTCAGGAAGTTTAACATGATTTTTATATCGCTGAGGGACGCTGGTATTGAATGGTTTGGGAAACAAAATCAACAGTGAGATTTCAGTCAGTCATTCACATCTATTTGAGGACTATGAGGAAAAAGGTCAATAAATGAATTCCCTTAAAGTTGTGTATTGGAAAGCTTTATTGTGACAAGTATCTCAAATATTGAGATTATTCCAAAGATTACACTGCCATTAAAGTATTAATTAATAGTATAAAAATGCCGTTAATTATTCTGATTGACATTGAAAGCTGGCATGAAATAAAAATTCACCGTCTGTTTTCCAAATGCATGTTACAGATCTAACAATTCATCCATGTATGTTTCTTTTTTTAATTATGATTATGTAGGTCTTCTTCTTCGCCAGTTGCCCGCTTAAGCTCCGCCCCTGCAAGCTCACGCTCATCTGCATACACCTTTGAGAGCCCCGCCCACATCTCGACAAAGAACCCCGCCCCACATTTTTTTCCTTTTACTGATAATCTGTCACATTTGGATGTATGTCAGAATAAAGAAGAAAGGATCTGTCGCCACTCGCCCATTTTTCTATTATTGTGTAATCACAGTATTGTATTATCACTCAGTATGAACTTTTTACTGGCTTCCACTAAAGCAATGACGTTCAGGAAATAATGCACTCTGACTTTGAAGACTTCGGAGGAGTTGAGGCATGTGAGGAAAAAGATTGTGAGGCAGAAGCACGCGAGGAGGAGGAGGAGGAGGCGCTTGAGGATGAAATGTACGAGGCTGTATATGAAGATGATGCCGCCGAGGAGGGTTTATAGAAGGGGTTGTTTGAGGAGGAGGAGTATGAAGAAGATGCATTTGTGGAGGGAATATGGCGAGTGACTACAGGAACAGCTACACGGCTCCTCACTGCCACTGCTGGATTTGCCACCGCAGGACGGCTCGGTGAATCAAAGCCACCGACGTCTCTGTACTCGATGAGATACTCGGGGTAGATCTGGTGCTTTTCAAACACCACAAATATGGACGGATCGAAGACGTCATTCACACAGCTGTCGTAGAAGACGGTGTCTCCTCCGTCTTTGGACGGAGGCCGGAGGTAGCTGGATTCACCTTTGGTGTAGCTGCCAACCAGAATGCGGCACACGAACATGGAACGAGTGCCTGAGTCTTTGGTGTAGCCGTGCGAGTATTTGGCATCCCTGGCAAAGTAACTACCTGCAAAAGAGACGCATTTCAGGCTCTTTTAGAAGGGGAAAGATGTTGCATGCATTTAAGAGACTAGTTAAACCAAAAAATTTACTCTTTCTCAGGCCACCCGAGATCATCAGGTTTGGAGAAATGCAGCATTGCATCAGTGTCTCACTGCAAGTGAATGGGTGCCGTCAGAACGAGAGCTGATAAAAGCATCACAATAATCCACAGCACTCAGTGAACATCTGGAGAAGACGAAAGCTGAAACAAATCCAGCATCAAGATGCTTTTAACTAAAATACACAGAGTCCATAATCCATAATAACGCTTCCTCCAGTGAAAAAGGTGCATCTGTTGTCTCTCACATGTGTGTTTAGAGCTGTTTAAACGCTGCTTGATCTGTGCAGATTTCTCTCCTGATTCACACAAAAACACTTTTTCACCGGAGGAAGAGTTATTATGGATTGAAGTGCAGTGGAAATGTCCTCAGCTGAGACAGGAAGTGCAGCAGAGACACTTTTAGTTGAGAGCAGTGAGAAGTGTCTCAGGAAGTTTAACATGATTTTTATATCGCTGAGGGACGCTGGTATTGAATGGTTTGGGAAACAAAATCAACAGTGAGATTTCAGTCAGTCATTCACATCTATTTGAGGACTATGAGGAAAAAGGTCAATAAATGAATTCCCTTAAAGTTGTGTATTGGAAAGCTTTATTGTGACAAGTATCTCAAATATTGAGATTATTCCAAAGATTACACTGCCATTAAAGTATTAATTAATAGTATAAAAATGCCGTTAATTATTCTGATTGACATTGAAAGCTGGCATGAAATAAAAATTCACCGTCTGTTTTCCAAATGCATGTTACAGATCTAACAATTCATCCATGTATGTTTCTTTTTTTAATTATGATTATGTAGGTCTTCTTCTTCGCCAGTTGCCCGCTTAAGCTCCGCCCCTGCAAGCTCACGCTCATCTGCATACACCTTTGAGAGCCCCGCCCACATCTCGACAAAGAACCCCGCCCCACATTTTTTTCCTTTTACTGATAATCTGTCACATTTGGATGTATGTCAGAATAAAGAAGAAAGGATCTGTCGCCACTCGCCCATTTTTCTATTATTGTGTAATCACAGTATTGTATTATCACTCAGTATGAACTTTTTACTGGCTTCCACTAAAGCAATGACGTTCAGGAAATAATGCACTCTGACTTTGAAGACTTCGGAGGAGTTGAGGCATGTAGATTGTGAGATTGTGAGGCAGAAGCACGCGAGGAGGAGGAGGAGGAGGCGCTTGAGGATGAAATGTACGAGGCTGTATAATGCCGCCGAGCCGCCGAGGAGGGTTTATAGAAGGGGTTGTTTGAGGAGGAGGAGTATGAAGAAGATGCATTTGTGGAGGGAATATGGCGAGTGACTACAGGAACAGCTACACGGCTCCTCACTGCCACTGCTGGATTTGCCACCGCAGGACGGCTCGGTGAATCAAAGCCACCGACGTCTCTGTACTCGATGAGATACTCGGGGTAGATCTGGTGCTTTTCAAACACCACAAATATGGACGGATCGAAGACGTCATTCACACAGCTGTCGTAGAAGACGGTGTCTCCTCCGTCTTTGGACGGAGGCCGGAGGTAGCTGGATTCACCTTTGGTGTAGCTGCCAACCAGAATGCGGCACACGAACATGGAACGAGTGCCTGAGTCTTTGGTGTAGCCGTGCGAGTATTTGGCATCCCTGGCAAAGTAACTACCTGCAAAAGAGACGCATTTCAGGCTCTTTTAGAAGGGGAAAGATGTTGCATGCATTTAAGAGACTAGTTAAACCAAAAAATTTACTCTTTCTCAGGCCACCCGAGATCATCAGGTTTGGAGAAATGCAGCATTGCATCAGTGTCTCACTGCAAGTGAATGGGTGCCGTCAGAACGAGAGCTGATAAAAGCATCACAATAATCCACAGCACTCAGTGAACATCTGGAGAAGACGAAAGCTGAAACAAATCCAGCATCAAGACGCTTTTAACTAAAATACACAGAGTCCATAATCCATAATAACGCTTCCTCCAGTGAAAAGGTGCATCTGTTGTCTCTCACATGTGTGTTTAGAGCTGTTTAAACGCTGCTTGATCTGTGCAGATTTCTCTCCTGATTCACACAAAAACACTTTTTCACCGGAGGAAGAGTTATTATGGATTATGGACTCTATGTATTTGAGTTAAAAGCGTCTTGATGCTGGATTTGTTTCAGCTTTCGTCTTCTCCAGATGTTCACTGAGTGCTGGGGATTATTGTGATGCTTTTATCAGCTCTCGTTCTGACGGCACCCATTCACTGCAGAGCATCCATTGCGGAGACATTTCTCCAAACCTGATGAAGGAACAAACTCGGATGGCTTCGGAGGTTGAGCACATTTCCAGCAAATTCTCATTTCTGGTTGAACTATTTCTTCAATACTGTTTCTTTAACCGAACGCCACCTTTTCCGTAGGCCGTGCCGTGAGTCCCACAGATCCTCCAGTCGAAGTTGTTGTGGCAGATGGCATCTAAATGCGTGCTGTCGGTGCCGTGGAAGAGCTGCTTCTCGGTCACGTCTCTGCCTCCGTTGTTCTTTTTCATGAAGTCCTTCTGCCTAGAAGTGGCGCAACCGTCAGACGTGCTGCAATCGATCTGGACGCTCCGGTGAGTGCATGTCTTGTGGACTTACCACTGATAAACTTCCCATAATGCTTTGTTCTGGATCCTCTGGATCTTCAGGATTCGGAAGCCGAACATGGTGCGACTGAACAGTTCTTTGATTTTGATGTGTTCGGCTGACGTGCTCTGCAGCGACACACTCTGTGTAAAACAGCACAGAACGATATAAACAGAGATCCACGTAAAAGTCACCACCGATAAATGATTCCACTCACCTTGTATCCGGTCTCAGGAGTCAGGGCTTTATCCCAGTGCTCCGGCAGAGCCTTGAAATTGTTGGGCGTCCTTTTACTGAGAACAGAGATTAAGAGTTTTTTCATCATACAGGTTTCGGAGAGTCTGAGAGAGAATGAGGAGTGTTTACTTACGTTGTCTTGATTGTTCGAACATCAGCCGCTGACACAAATTTGGGACGACGTCTGATGATTTTTTTGGTTGTGTAGCGTTTGTTTGTCTGGATCATATCTGTAGAGCAAGATTAGTTCAGACGGCATCAAGAGAGCTGCATGAAGCTGCTTCAAGACTATTATAAGTATAATGTATATTGATATAGACAATATTTAAACAATATTCTGCGCTGGTATAGTTTGTGCAATTACATTTATTTAAATCGAACGTTAAAAGTTAATATATTGATCATGTTCTATTCTGTAATGTTAATATAAATCATAGCTGTCAGAATAAAAAGGTTGCATTTTATGCATTTTATCCCTGATGAAAATGAACTATGGTTTTACTAAAGTGACCGTAGTTCAACTTTAGTATTTGTAGATTTCCATGGTTACCACTACAGTAAACATATCTGAACCATGTGTAAACAAAAATATAATCTAGTAAATTGCAATTAAAGCATGCTGAATGTTAGAATGCGTTTAAAATATAACGTTAAGTGGGTATCATTACCCATTTTACTCTTAGTAATTTAATACATTTCTTAATTTAAAAGTTCAGTTTAGAAGTATCGGTATCTGTACCGACGATACTGGCGTTTAAAAGTATCGGTATCGTATCGAAAACAAAATAAGTGGTATCGCCCATCCCTACTGAATCATTCATTTAAATGATTTGTTCAAAACGGCTGATTCATTCAGAAACGAAGCAAGTGATTTATTATGAATGGATCATTGAATCATTGACTCAAATGATTCATTCTAAAACAGATACATTCAGGAACGAATCACTGCAGTGTTGCTCTGTTCCTCTCCGGCTTTGTTTGAAACAGAAAAAACATAAAAAATATTGTGTCTAAAATGTAACTCACTCGATATCAGCTTCTTGTTTGTTAAATTGTTGTATAAAATCAATATCACATTCACGATTGCGCTCACGTGCTGATATTTAGGAAAACAGCACTTGTGTGATATTACTTAACTATATCATATCTTATAAATACACAAAAACAAAAACCTACAGCGATATTTTTTTCTTTCATAACTTGAATTATATGCTCATTCTAACTGCATTCTAATAGGCTTCGTCGTGTAGTGAATGCTTTCGGGTTCTCAAGACCCAAACTATGTTTTTTGTTAATTATGCGACATACTCGATAATGTCAGTTCGCACATCGTTAAAACAGCGATTAATATATGTGACCCTGGAGCACATACCAGTCATAAGGGTAAATTTTTCGAAATTGAGATTTATACATCATCTGAAAGCTGAATAAATAGCTTTCCATTGATGTATGGTTTGTTAGGATAGGACAATATTTGGCTAAAAATCTGGAATCTGAAAGTGTATAAAAATCTAAATAATGAGAAAATCATCTTTAAAGTTGTCCAAATTAAGTTCTTAGCAATGCATATTACTAATCAAAAATTACGTTTCAATATATTTACGGTAGGAGATTACAAAATATCTTCATGGAACATGATCTTTACTTAATATCCTAATGATTTTTAGCATAAAAGAAAAATCGATCATTTTGACCCATGCAATGTATTGTTGGCTATTGCTACAAATATCCCCCAGCGACTTAACACTGCTTTTGTGCTGCAGGGTCACATATGATCATAGACATATATATATATATATCGCACACCCCTAAATGTACAGTAAGATGATTTTGAGGTTACCTGTGAAGCTGAGCTCGTACGTCTGCGATCCGGCGGTGAACTCCACCACGGCGTTGCTATCGGCCTGGAACTTCTGCTCGAGTTCAGCACTGGAGATGGAGGACAATCCATGACCCCCGTCCTGATCAATAAAGAGAAAAAAAAAGAACATCAAAAGAGCTCAAGATGTTGAAAAGCATAGTTAGGATACTCAAAAAAGCCACTTGCCGCTGTGGCATACTGGATCCAGTTTCCGTACTCGTCCTCCCAGTACCAGATCCACTCGGTGGTCAGGATGAAGGTGGGCTGGAGCACCGACGGTACCGTCGACAGACGCCGCACGCTGTAACAGCCTTGGGTCATCGTATCGAAATAAACCGGGTTCATTCCAGAGCTTTGATAGACAGAGAACCCGTCAGAACACTCAATAAACCACTGATTATTCATGCACTGCCTACTAACTGCCAGTGTTGGGGAAAGTTACTTTTAATTGTGTTACTCCACAAAAAAGTAACTAATTGCGTTACTTAGTTACTTCTTATAGAAAGTAATGCAATACAGAGTTCTGGCATGAAACTCTAGATGGCGCAGTCTGATAGGTCTAACTCAATCTGACTTAATGACATCATATTAAATGGCAGCTGATTGGTTCTCTCCTGTATCAGCAGCCAATGAGCTCGCTGCTCAACATTCAAATATTTGGCTAGTGCTTGTGGTAGCAGTTGCAGCGCACTTTAGAAACCCTCCACCTTCCCCAGCTCCACCTGTATAGATCTGCTACGGGGTGATTCATGTATGCTATGGGGTTACTTCATACATGTTATATGTGCAGCAGCAGTATTTCTTACATGCTCACAGCAGCATGTTGTGGATGTATTGGCAGCAGCAGCAGCAGCAGCGTAGCAGATCTATTCCGCCAAGACCAAATACATTAACATTGTCATGTGCATTACCATGCCAATCCCTCCGAGAGTTGTCAGTTGACAGAATTACAGTTCTTTTGCGTTACTTTTTGTCACCTGGGCTGGGCTTGTTTATTTGTTTTTTTAATAAAATGCATAGTTCATTGAAAAAGTAATCTGATTACTTGATTTTGACCCATGCAATGTATTGTTGGCTATTGCTACAAATATCCCCCAGCGACTTAACACTGCTTTTGTGCTGCAGGGTCACATATGATCATAGACATATATATATATATATCGCACACCCCTAAATGTACAGTAAGATGATTTTGAGGTTACCTGTGAAGCTGAGCTCGTACGTCTGCGATCCGGCGGTGAACTCCACCACGGCGTTGCTATCGGCCTGGAACTTCTGCTCGAGTTCAGCACTGGAGATGGAGGACAATCCATGACCCCCGTCCTGATCAATAAAGAGAAAAAAAAAGAACATCAAAAGAGCTCAAGATGTTGAAAAGCATAGTTAGGATACTCAAAAAAGCCACTTGCCGCTGTGGCATACTGGATCCAGTTTCCGTACTCGTCCTCCCAGTACCAGATCCACTCGGTGGTCAGGATGAAGGTGGGCTGGAGCACCGACGGTACCGTCGACAGACGCCGCACGCTGTAACAGCCTTGGGTCATCGTATCGAAATAAACCGGGTTCATTCCAGAGCTTTGATAGACAGAGAACCCGTCAGAACACTCAATAAACCACTGATTATTCATGCACTGCCTACTAACTGCCAGTGTTGGGGAAAGTTACTTTTAATTGTGTTACTCCACAAAAAAGTAACTAATTGCGTTACTTAGTTACTTCTTATAGAAAGTAATGCAATACAGAGTTCTGGCATGAAACTCTAGATGGCGCAGTCTGATAGGTCTAACTCAATCTGACTTAATGACATCATATTAAATGGCAGCTGATTGGTTCTCTCCTGTATCAGCAGCCAATGAGCTCGCTGCTCAACATTCAAATATTTGGCTAGTGCTTGTGGTAGCAGTTGCAGCGCACTTTAGAAACCCTCCACCTTCCCCAGCTCCACCTGTATAGATCTGCTACGGGGTGATTCATGTATGCTATGGGGTTACTTCATACATGTTATATGTGCAGCAGCAGTATTTCTTACATGCTCACAGCAGCATGTTGTGGATGTATTGGCAGCAGCAGCAGCAGCAGCGTAGCAGATCTATTCCGCCAAGACCAAATACATTAACATTGTCATGTGCATTACCATGCCAATCCCTCCGAGAGTTGTCAGTTGACAGAATTACAGTTCTTTTGCGTTACTTTTTGTCACCTGGGCTGGGCTTGTTTATTTGTTTTTTTAATAAAATGCATAGTTCATTGAAAAAGTAATCTGATTACTTGCGTTACTTGTAATGCATTATCCTCAACACTGCTAACCTGTATGTTCTTGCAGCATCGCAGTAATCTTTCTCGATGGCTTCGTTGTCAGGAAGAGCCTTCCATTCGGATCCTTCCTTAACTTCCCATTTATAGGGCAGAGTGGAATGCTCCTTCCAACACGAGCCTGGAAACACAAGCGTTCAGCTGCGTTCACGGTGAACATCGCTCTATGAATCACACAAGCGCAGCAGAACGCCGCTCTTACCACCGTGCTTGCAGTGTCCTTTGACGAAATACATGCAGATCTCCGTTTTCTCTGAGAGAAGAGACACACACACACACACACACACGTCTGTAAGTGACTTTCAGGCTGAATTTGTCCTAATATTGCATTCTTGCTTTTACAACATATGGAAGCCCGTTTCCGCCCGTGAATAAAAAATGTAAAAGGTAATTGCGACTTTTTATCTCACAATTTTCTGACGTTTTTCTCAGAATTGCAAGATATAAACTGACTTTTTTCAAGTTTAAAAAAAGTTTATATCGTATAATTTTGACTTTCTTCTCACAATTGCGAGTTTATATATCACAATTCTGACTTTATAACTCACAAATGCAAATTTATATCTCACAATTCTGAGAAAAGAAGTCAGCATTGGGAGAGAAAAGTCAAAATTGCGATATATAAACTTGCATTCGTGAGTTGCAATTCTGACTTTTTTCTTGCAAAAGCAAGATTATATCTTGCAATTTTGACTTCTCACAATTGCAAGTTTATACCTCATAATTCTTAAAAAATGTAAACTCGCAATTGCAAGAAAAAAGTCAAAACTGCGATATATAAATTTGCATTTGCAAGAAAAAAGTTTGTCGCAATTCGCAAAATGTCGCAAAAAAGTCAGAATTGCGACAAACTTTCTCGCGAATGTGATGTAAACTCGCAATTGCAGGAAAAAAGTCAGAATCGCGAGTTTATTTCTCACAATCCTGACTTTATAACTCGCAAATGCAAATTTATATCGAGTTTATATCAAGCAATTCTGAGAAAATGCAATTCTGACTTTCTTCTCGCAACTCTTAAAAAATGTAAACTCGCAATTGCAAGAAAAAAGTCAAAATTGCGATATATAAACTTCGTGAGTATTCGTGAGAAAAAAGTTTATATGTCGCAATTTCGACTTTTTTCTTGCAATTTCGAGTTTATCTCACAATTCTGAGAAAAGAGGTCTGCATTGTGAGAAAAAAGTCAGAATTGCGAGTTTATGTGATTTTTCTTGCAATAGCAAGTTTATTTCTCGCAATTTTGACTTTCTTCTCACAATTGCGAGTTTATATCTCACAATTCGTAAAAAATTTAAACTTACAATTGCAAGAAAAAGAGTTTTTCTCACAATTTTTTTTCTCAGAATTGTGAGATAAAATGTCACAATTACTTTTTTTTTAATCGTTATTTTATTCAGTGGTGGAAACGGCTCCCATAAAAGCATGCATGTGTTACCTGTGTTGTTTTGTGGAGGCCTCTGAGCCCCCTGTCCTCTGCCTGCGTTAAAACCGCTCGACGGTCTCCGGTTCTGTGCATTCGGGCCTCTTCTGGGGTTCGGTCCCGCAGCGTTTGGGCGCAGCAGAACGCCGCTCTTACCACCGTGCTTGCAGTGTCCTTTGACGAAATACATGCAGATCTCCGTTTTCTCTGAGAGAAGAGACACACACACACACACACACACGTCTGTAAGTGACTTTCAGGCTGAATTTGTCCTAATATTGCATTCTTGCTTTTACAACATATGGAAGCCCGTTTCCGCCCGTGAATAAAAAATGTAAAAGGTAATTGCGACTTTTTATCTCACAATTTTCTGACGTTTTTCTCAGAATTGCAAGATATAAACTGACTTTTTTCAAGTTTAAAAAAAGTTTATATCGTATAATTTTGACTTTCTTCTCACAATTGCGAGTTTATATATCACAATTCTGACTTTATAACTCACAAATGCAAATTTATATCTCACAATTCTGAGAAAAGAAGTCAGCATTGGGAGAGAAAAGTCAAAATTGCGATATATAAACTTGCATTCGTGAGTTGCAATTCTGACTTTTTTCTTGCAAAAGCAAGATTATATCTTGCAATTTTGACTTCTCACAATTGCAAGTTTATACCTCATAATTCTTAAAAAATGTAAACTCGCAATTGCAAGAAAAAAGTCAAAACTGCGATATATAAATTTGCATTTGCAAGAAAAAAGTTTGTCGCAATTCGCAAAATGTCGCAAAAAAGTCAGAATTGCGACAAACTTTCTCGCGAATGTGATGTAAACTCGCAATTGCAGGAAAAAAGTCAGAATCGCGAGTTTATTTCTCACAATCCTGACTTTCGATGTCAAACAGACGTTTAGAAGATATCTTTAAGATTTAGAATGCATGTGAAACTGACCTCTTAAATACCGTTTGTACACAGCAGATGCTTTCCAGACATCTTGCAGACGTACGTGTGCTATATAATAACCCATATAGCACCGCCCTGTTGAAAAAAAACAGCATATGCTGGTTAGGTATGTTTTGATGCTGGGATGGTGGTTTATGCTGGTCCTTTGCTGGTTTAAGCTGGTCCTTTGCCGGTTTAAGCTGGTCCTTTGCCGGTTTAAGCTGGTCCTTTGCCGGTTTAAGCTGGTCCTTTGCCGGTTTAAGCTGGTCCTTTGCCGGTTTAAGCTGGTCCTTTGCCGGTTTAAGCTGGTCCTTTGCCGGTTTAAGCTGGTCCTTTGCCGGTTTAAGCTGGTCCTTTGCCGGTTTAAGCTGGTCCTTTGCCGGTTTAAGCTGGTCCTTTGCCGGTTTAAGCTGGTCCTTTGCCGGTTTAAGCTGGTCCTTTGCCGGTTTAAGCTGGTCCTTTGCCGGTTTAAGCTGGTCCTTTGCCGGTTTAAGCTGGTCCTTTGCCGGTTTAAGCTGGTCCTTTGCCGGTTTAAGCTGGTCCTTTGCCGGTTTAAGCTGGTCCTTTGCCGGTTTAAGCTGGTCCTTTGCCGGTTTAAGCTGGTCCTTTGCCGGTTTAAGCTGGTCCTTTGCCGGTTTAAGCTGGTCCTTTGCCGGTTTAAGCTGGTCCTTTGCCGGTTTAAGCTGGTCCTTTGCCGGTTTAAGCTGGTCCTTTGCCGGTTTAAGCTGGTCCTTTGCCGGTTTAAGCTGGTCCTTTGCCGGTTTAAGCTGGTCCTTTGCCGGTTTAAGCTGGTCCTTTGCCGGTTTAAGCTGGTCCTTTGCCGGTTTAAGCTGGTCCTTTGCCGGTTTAAGCTGGTCCTTTGCCGGTTTAAGCTGGTCCTTTGCCGGTTTAAGCTGGTCCTTTGCCGGTTTAAGCTGGTCCTTTGCCGGTTTAAGCTGGTCCTTTGCCGGTTTAAGCTGGTCCTTTGCCGGTTTAAGCTGGTCCTTTGCCGGTTTAAGCTGGTCCTTTGCCGGTTTAAGCTGGTCCTTTGCCGGTTTAAGCTGGTCCTTTGCCGGTTTAAGCTGGTCCTTTGCCGGTTTAAGCTGGTCCTTTGCCGGTTTAAGCTGGTCCTTTGCCGGTTTAAGCTGGTCCTTTGCCGGTTTAAGCTGGTCCTTTGCCGGTTTAAGCTGGTCCTTTGCCGGTTTAAGCTGGTCCTTTGCCGGTTTAAGCTGGTCCTTTGCCGGTTTAAGCTGGTCCTTTGCCGGTTTAAGCTGGTCCTTTGCCGGTTTAAGCTGGTCCTTTGCCGGTTTAAGCTGGTCCTTTGCCGGTTTAAGCTGGTCCTTTGCCGGTTTAAGCTGGTCCTTTGCCGGTTTAAGCTGGTCCTTTGCCGGTTTAAGCTGGTCCTTTGCCGGTTTAAGCTGGTCCTTTGCCGGTTTAAGCTGGTCCTTTGCCGGTTTAAGCTGGTCCTTTGCCGGTTTAAGCTGGTCCTTTGCCGGTTTAAGCTGGTCCTTTGCCGGTTTAAGCTGGTCCTTTGCCGGTTTAAGCTGGTCCTTTGCCGGTTTAAGCTGGTCCTTTGCCGGTTTAAGCTGGTCCTTTGCCGGTTTAAGCTGGTCCTTTGCCGGTTTAAGCTGGTCCTTTGCCGGTTTAAGCTGGTCCTTTGCCGGTTTAAGCTGGTCCTTTGCCGGTTTAAGCTGGTCCTTTGCCGGTTTAAGCTGGTCCTTTGCCGGTTTAAGCTGGTCCTTTGCCGGTTTAAGCTGGTCCTTTGCCGGTTTAAGCTGGTCCTTTGCCGGTTTAAGCTGGTCCTTTGCCGGTTTAAGCTGGTCCTTTGCCGGTTTAAGCTGGTCCTTTGCCGGTTTAAGCTGGTCCTTTGCCGGTTTAAGCTGGTCCTTTGCTGGTTTAAGCTGGTCCTTTGCTGGTCCTTTTGCTGGTTTATGCTGGTCATGTGCTGGCAAAGAACCAGCATAAACCAGCATCAAAACATACCTAACCAGCATATGCCGTTTTTTTCAACAGGGCGGTACATCTGCAAGAGGTCTGTTAAAGATCTGGAAAGCATCTGCTGTGTACAAACGGTCTTTAAGAGGTCAGTTTCACATGCATTCTAATTCTTAAAGATATCTTCTAAACGTCTGTTTGACATCGAATAGCAAACGTCCTATAGATGTATTGCAGATGTAATGCAGACGTCAGATAGACGTGATGTACGTGCGCTATCAGGGTAGTTAAACAGTATCAGCAAATATGAATCATCTGATTGATCATCTGTTGCTTATGTAGGCATAAGTTTGGGCTGGAAACGCGCTTCGACGGTAAACACACTCACCTTCCTCTGTCGAAGCGGCAGGAACCGAACAGAAACCACTTGCACAGATGCAGATTCGCGCAGCCCGGACAGCTCTGGACTCGACACAGACGGACTTTGGTTCTGGCGATCACTTTCTTCTGTCCGTTCACGAACGCCACCGCGAACGACTCACTGCGGCCGACGAGCGAGTCCACGGCTTCGTGATCGAACAGACCGAGCATCGATATTAACGCATCGAAACTGATCGATCCGTTCTGAGCGCACAGCTTCTTAACGATCGCCGCCTCCGTCATGTTGCAGTGAATCGGTCCTGAGTCGAGTTTAGGGACTGGCAGGGAGAGAAAAGTCAATCCAGAGGAAAGGAAAACGAAACTTAAACATCAAGGAGGAGCTTACATCGTTATCAGTCATGTGAAAGGTCGTTAACAGAACAATAAAAACGACTGAAAACTATCTTAAAGCCAAATCTTCCGCTTTTGTGCATTAGGAAATGAACGCTGTGTTTGCAACCATGTGCAAATCATACCGGTGATCTATTCAAACTAAGCTGTTTAATGCATGAAAGCCATCATGTTGAGATCACGTGACTCTTTTTAAAAAAAAACTCTCGTGTTATTGTTCACTCTCATGTGACCTTCAAAACCAGTCATACGGGTCCATTTAAAAAAATGAGACTGATAAGCTTTCCATTGATGTATGGTTTGTTAGGATCGGACAATATTAGAAAATCTGGAATCTGAGGGTGCAAAAAAATCTAAATATTGAGAAAATCATCTTTAAAGTTGTCCAAATGAAGTTCTTAGCAATGCATATTACTAATCAAACATTAAGTTTTGATATATTTACAGTAGGAAGTTTACTAAATATCTTCATGGAACATGATCTTTACTGAATATCCTAATGATTTTTGGCATAAAAGAGAAATGTATAATTGTGACCCATACAATGTATTGTTGGTTATTGCTACAAATATCCCCCAGCGACTCACATCCGGGGAACACCTGAAATGTATCTTTTTTATTTTCAGTTAAATGTTTTTGTTCAATAATATTTTTTATTTTTTTGTGTTGTACTTTCAGAGAATTTCATGATGCTGATTAATATTTATGCAATAGTTATGATCAAGTGTGTGTGTGTGAGTGTGTGTGTGTGTGTGTGTGTGTGTGTGTGTGTGTGTGTGTGTGTAATAATACACGTATTTCTCATTCATTTCCAATGGTGAACAACACAAGTGTGACTATTTTTTACGACCATTTAGCTTTTTCGAATCAAGTTTTGTGGTCACACAGTCATCGAGTTTCGTATCTTTCAAAACATTATCCAGGATTTATCAAGTGACACATGTTTTGGAAAGATTCAAACCGGTTTATTTCATCAATATCGCAATTGCTTTTTCACTGTATCTACTCAAGGTTATTTTGGAAAGATTTAGAAATCTAAAAATAATCGAAAACTGAGATCTACGATAGAGATTTGTGTATTTGACGTGCTTTTTTATTTTCAGAATGATGTTTTGAAAAGTAAAGCACACTATTTCATTTAATTATGTATTCAAGTAGGTAAATACCATGTGCATAGAAAGAAGTGGGTTAGTTTCATTTTATCAGTGACTTAGTGAAAAAAAACACTACTTTATTGCAACTTTGTGAGATTGAATTGAATTGATGAGAACTGAATATAGTCTAAAATGTAAGCTACGCGTTAAAACTGAAAAAAAGAAAGCGTTTGTGACAACTAGCCCCGGTCTGATCTGCAATAGTAATGCGTGCAACACCAGTGTTGTCCAGCAGGTGTCGCGCGTCTGTCCAAATAACAGGCGTTTATAGTAAAAATAATCGAAAACTGAGATCTACGATAGAGATTTGTGTATTTGACGTGCTTTTTTATTTTCAGAATGATGTTTTGAAAAGTAAAGCACACTATTTCATTTAATTATGTATTCAAGTAGGTAAATACCATGTGCATAGAAA